TCAGTACAAATATGATATATAATAGAAGTCCAAGAGTGCATTATTCAAGGGAGAAAATCAAACTCTATTCTATTCTCACAGAAGAAATAATTAAGAGAAAAATGAGTTTATAGTCATGACACAAGAACAAATAATATTCCATAAAATAAAGCTGATTCAACAAAGAAGAGGATTGGTACCCCAAAACTTAAGCAACTGGAACAATTTTTAAAGACTTTCAAAATTATGTACAGAAAACTCTAAAAATCAGATACAATATAAAAGTATATACAGATATTTTATGGAAATGAAGTTTCTAGAAGTAAAATGAAAGAAATTCATATCAAAAACTCAATGGATACATTATACATCAGAATAGATATAATAAAAAGAAAATTAGTCAACTATAAGTTTAAGGAAACAAATCTAGGCACAATTAAGTGAAACTGCAGAATCTTGAATACACATAGAATCATGGCATGAAGTAGAGAGGAAATGGAATATTTATAAAAGTGCGGAGCAAAAGGCTAGAGGATGGTAAAATGATTTCTTCAAAATATCTCCATTTAAATATTATGGAGTTAAATCACCACCACAAAATACATGTTAAATAAGACATTTTCAGATAGGGTGGAAGAATTTATTATTTCTGGGTCATTTCTAAAAATATTTTAAGTACATTTTTTAAATACTGTAAAACAAAGTAATTTTTTTTTGTCTTTTAAAACTATGATGAGTCAATAACTTTTGGCAGTAGTGATAACAATAAAATATTTAGTGGGTTGAAAATACAGTAGAACTGGATATTAGAAATAGCGCCTGAAAGAAATAAAATGTAATCCAAGTTAGAGTTCTAAGTTTTTGTTTGCTTTTTGATCTTGACCAAGTAAAAAAATGATTAAAAAAAGATGAGGGCAGCTACTACTACAAAGGAAAAAAAAGTGTAGGTCAAGAGAGATAGTACAGGGATCAGGGAACTTGTTTTGTGCGTAGTTAACTGAGGTTTGAACCTCAGCAGTGCATGTGAGACCCTGAGCACTGCCAGGAATAAGCCCTGAGCACTGCTGGGTGTGTTCCTTCACTGCAAAAAATAGTGTATACCAAGTAGCAACGAATAAAATGAATAGAGAAATTCAATAAAATCAATAGATATAACAAATTAAAAAACTTTGCAAAATGGAAACTACAAATCCTATAAAATGAAAATGGAATTAAAGCATTCATAGTCAAAATAATTTTTAAAAGATTAAATCTACCAAAAATAGAGATAATAACAATTTCAAACTAAACTAAATTTTTGTAATAAGGCAAAAAATAATTAAAAAATGACAAAAATTAATTGAAAATTGAAGGAGGAAGAAATATGCTTATGCTTAAAAGTATTCCAAAAAAGAAGAATCACTCTACTATGCTATCAGCAAACAAATTGGATATAAAGGCATAAGCATTCTGATGCATAAATTATGTAGGGATTAAAGGAATGATGTATCAGGATACTCTAACATTCATTAAAGGGCATGATCATAGGAATACTTCAAATATAGAAAGCAAAATAAATTGGACAAGAAGAAAGAACTGCAAAATTCCTAAACTTGATGAGGAATTGTTATGAAAGAAGTAGGCCCTGACTCTCCTCCCCACAAAGAAAGTTTGAGACATATATTAGGTGAAATAAATACATATTAATACCTTGTATAGTTATCAGAGAATAAAATTTGCTTTGGAAATATACACAAGTACTAGATTGAAGCAAATCTCCATACATTTTAAAACAGATATTAAGACCACAGTGTATTACACACCACAATGTCATTTAATTTTACCTCGATAATTTTTAAAAGCCTCAGAGTCCATATATTAGAAATTCTTCAAATCTTATTTTAAATTTCCAGATCAAACTGTGGTGAGAATTGAAAAATTTCAAGAACTGAGTGACACAAAAAGCCGGTATATAACATTTATGGAGATAAACGGGATGAAGAAAGAAATCATATATGTATATTAACAAAGCTGAGGCAGCTAATTATCAAAAGCAAATGTTAGAGAACAAAGAGTAACCCCCTCCAAAAAAGAAAACAACAGGATAAATGATAAGTTTAATACTGATAAGATGTAAAATAAATAAAATAGGAGGTCAAAGAAACAACAAAGAATCAGACTAACTAAATGACGTTTCTTTGAAATGAAAGCAAACCTGTGTCTGTCAGTATGGAGAGAGAGGTAAGGAGAAACGGGAAGAGGAGAGAACAGAGACAGTTAGTGAGCAAAGAAGAGAAAGAAAAAGGCAGAGACAGAGATGGGGGCAGATATTTCAGAGATAAAGTCACAAATATGGTAGTATTTTTAGTAGAATTCTATTAAATAGAAAACTATTAACAAATACATGCAACAAACTTGACAGTTAAAATACAATTACTGAGATCACTTCTAAAAGACATGAAAATTCTAAAAGGATATCTATCCACTAAAGAAACTAACTCAGCAGTGAAATTTCACTCACGTAAGTTATTTGATAGATAGGTTTTACCAAACCTATACGAAATGGATAATTAGGGGCCGGAGTGATAGTACAGGGGATAGGCTGTTTGCCTTGCACACGGGTGACTCCTGAATTCAATCCCTGGCATCCCGTATGGTCCCCCAAGCATTGCCAGGTGTAATTTTTGAGTGCAAAGCCAGGTGTAACCCCTAAGCATCACCAGGGTGACCCAAAATGAAAAAAAAAAAAGAAAAAATGGAAATGGTTAATTTGATTTTATGTAAAATGATGAAAACATTAGCAAAAGAGGGGAAACTCCCCAAGTAATTTTGTGACAAAATAATTTTAAGAGCAATGCCAAATGAGAATATAAGAAAGACAGAGTACAGTTCATTCTCCATTTTGAGCACCAGATACAGAAGTGCACAGTAGATATTAGCAGATGAATAAAGCAACCTGGTTTTTTTTTGTAGTCCTAAAAATGAATGTCTATCTTGTTAAAGCAAATATATTTTCATTCACATTAGATAACTCTATGCTTATAAAGATACTTATACCATATATACTTTATATAATATAAAATAGTTCTAATATATCAAAGTAACTTGAAACATAAGCCATCTAAAATGTTTTAGTAATGGATGCAGAATAAATATTTGATAAAATTCAACATTCATGCATATTTCAAACAATAACAACAATGACAGCAAACATTCTAACAGGAGATATTTTTTCAGTCTAATAAAAGACTGGCTACCAATAACCTGTAGCATTTCAGAAAATGTTTAATAGCTATGATTGTGGAAATTGTAAGTGAATCACCCTTGAATCTTAAGCTTAAAATTAGTTACAATGATAAGTTCTATACTAGTCAGATTTTACTAAAATGTGAAGTTCTATATTATGCATTATACTTTATTTGAATTATAAGAAGCAATTCCCTTAATTCAGGAATGAGACACAGTTCTCTATATTCACTGCTTCTTTTTTGAACAATGGCTCAGAAATCCAGTGTACTAAATAATAACTTAGCATTAGAAAGACAAAATTTTATAAGTGATATTACTGTGAGTGAAAAAGAATAAGAAAATTTTCATATATATAAAGTATAAAGAACATTTAGTATTGAATAGAAAAAATTCAATACACAGAAATCAGAGATATTCTTATATATTGGAAATTACAAATTAGAAAATATAGTGTTAAATGTATATTTTTTCTGATAGCAGGAAATAATATACATTGTCAAAGCATAAATCTAACATAAAATTATATTAAAGATATAAATAAAGTGGTACACTTAGTGATTAGGTAGGAAGTTTCAATGTCATAAAAGTATTTATGTTTAAATTAATCTATAATAATTAAAATTAACCTATAGCAAATTAAATTAAAACCCTAGCCTAATGCATGGAAATTAGGAAGCTAATTCAAAGAAAATATTAAAGAATAAAGAGGCAAGAATAGCAATCACAATTTAGAAGAACAAAAAAAGGATGTGTGTTTACCTAATATCAAGTCATATTATAGAGCTATGATAAATAAAGAAACCCAACATTGTTATAGGCATTGACAAACCATGAAAACTAGAAACAGATCTGCACATAGATGGGAACATAGTCCATAACACAGGTGTCATAATAAATCTAAATGCTATAAATTCAAATAAATATAATCCAATAAAAGGGTGTTGGTTAACAGGCCAACTATATGGAAAAAGTCCAAATTATACCCTACCGCAGCCACACATAGAAGTAAATTCCAGAGGATTAAGTCCTAAATGTGAAAGTCAATACTTTAAAGTATTCAAATAAAAAATATATGAGAATATCAATATAACATTAGGTCAGAGACATTTCTTAAGCAAATATGCACAAATCATAAAAGAAAGCAAGAATAACTTAGATTATATTAAAATAAAAGCAAAATGAAATTTCTATGCATATAAAGACATCTATAAAAAGTTAAGAAGAAACACCAAGGTATAGGAAGACACATATGCAAAGCAATGAATTGGAAACACACAAAGATAATCCAACTCAGAAAACTAAATCCATCTCCCAGTAGAGAATGTCCCAACAGAAATGAGGAGACCAGAAACCCCTATTGATGGAGGAAATCAAACTGTTAAAGAAGTCCTGACATCATTAGTAATCAGGGAAATGTCTTCTAAGCCACCAAGAATCCTTTTCAAATCATTTAACTTCCATTTTTCCTGAAGTTTGTTGCCTTCAGTAAACAGTGGTAAGGACCTTCCTCAGAGAACTGAAATCATAAACTATCAACTAGAAATTATCAACCAGAATTTTTTTCTTATCTACCAAAAAATTAGACTGAAAATTGCTTTTTTAACCCTGGTATTTAGTCTCATGCGTTCTGAACACTTCCCAAACTCTCAATGATTAGCAAAGTCAAGTGATGTTTCCCCCAAGCTGAAAGAAACACCTCTCTCATCACATAAAAGGGCAGCCATATTTCCCTCCCTCATGCAACTGGTCCATCCAAGGAAAGTTCTCTTTCAGCACAAAGACAGGGGGCTTACTTGGAGCAGTCTTCACAAGCAATGTTCCCTGAGGTTTCCTTGATGGTCCGCTCAGAGACAAATGCTGGATACTCAGTATCACAAGGCTCCAAGGTCTGTTTCAATTTCTGGGCTGGAGGGATAGAGAGAAAGAGAAAAAAATAAAAGAAGATGAATTCAAGGCACAGATCTTATTGTGACTGGCAGCCCACAGAAACTACGAACACAGTACGCTCCTACTGCACTGTGATTTTTTTTTCCAGGCAGAGCATAATGCATTATTTTCTAATTAGTCAAGTGATTTCATCGGCCAAGCAACTCTATAAGCTATAATTCCTCAAGCAGTTTTGTTGGCTTGATCAGCTATCATTTATGCATCAGAAGAACTCTATTTTCTGGGACAACATCAGTCACTTGGTCTCTGACCTCAGACTTACTTGAATTCAGCAATAATATAAATGCCATATCTGAATAAGTGTACAAAATATTAGTTATACCACATTATTTAGGGTGAGACAAAGGTCATGATTGGATTGCATGGTTTTATTAAAGAAAGAAAATTGAAGCACTGAGTAGTAAAATATGTAATATCTTGGAATCACAGTCACAAATCTAATCCTAGGATGATGAAGTTCTTTGTCCAGAAAAATGGCACTAACTAACTCTGATAACATGGATAAGTCCAAAGTATTACTGGGTAAAGACTTGGGGGTGGGGGGATAACTAAATTATTGAAACATCAGATAACTAAATTATTGAAACATCTTATGTCCCAGGGACAACTTCCAAAAGCTCTGTAAGTTTCCTTTTTTAAATTTGTAAATTGAGGATAATATATTTCTGTCAGATGTTGTGACGTTAAATGAAATCATTTATGTTGAAAATGTAGTACAGTACCTGAAGCAACTGTGTTGATTAATGTCAATGTTAGTACTAGCAATAGTAACAAGAAGCAAGCCTTCCCAGGAAGTATTGTGATTTATAAAATGATGATGATATAGAAACAATAACCAAGCACTTATAAGGAAAGAATGAGAAGTCAGAGGAGTTAGGAGCACAAATTTGTATTCATATAAATGTATGCTATACATATTACTTTTGTAATAGATGCACACTACATAATTTACAATTCTAAAACTCAATAGTATTTTACTTAACCCACGTGCAGACAAATTGAATTGGTTTTCCAAAACCAACTGACAGAAGGGCAGTAGCCATGGTGGCAGAATGCCCCGCCCCCAGGGGTTTTTCTGAGGTAAGTCCAATGGGGTGGGAGGGAGCTTGCACAAAGGGAGTCATCACAGGTCTACTGAGTACAAAAGGCTGTTTGGAGCATCCATTTAATGTAATGAGCATCCACTCATTACTACTGAGTTATCAGGAAGCGACATTCTAAGTATTTATATCCTAACACGGTATTTTTAGGAGTTTTTTTAAAATTTTTTTTAAATTATTTATTTTTATAGGAGCTTTAGTATTCAGCTTTAATTCTTTTCAGGATATTGTTTTGAGGTTAGAGGGTTGAAGAAAATGCATTGTAATTTTTTAGTTAAAAAAAGGAAGATGGGCTTTTAATCAGTATTTTATGCAGAACCTGTAATTTCAGAAACAGATCACTGAATTGAGAGGATATATGCTGAAAGCACTGTTCTGAAGAATAAATGCAGTAAGGCAGAGCTCTCAGCAAATGACACACATGTGCAGGTTCACACACAAGCAGGTTCACACACAGGCTTGCATTCACAGACTGCCATGAAATGTTCCTTGTGAATGTTACCATCTACATTCCAGATGCTAATTGCCTGTGAGCTGAGAGCACATATTCTGGGCATTGTAAGTCCTACTCCTGCTGTGCTGCTGCGTGGTATCAGAGCACAGCAGGTTAATCTCTCTGCAAAGTGAGAAGAATAATAATAGCCTCCATGGTTGTGCAGAGCCAAAGAATCACTATAGAAAATGGCTGGCACAGTGTGAGTGTTCTTTAAGTATATGGACTCCACACCATCACAGCTTATCCTGCACTTGCTAATTCATTGAATTCTTAGAATCCCAGCTGTTTTGGGTGAGAAAAGGTTAGTAGGGGAGTCAGAAGATGGCTCGGTGGCTTAATGTGCTTGTCTGACAAAAGCAAGATCCTGGGTTCGAAATCTGGTTCAGTCTGCAAAGGCTGAGGTCTGTCCATCTTCCTTTTGGGACCCCTAGTGAGAGAGATCTAGGTGTTTCTATATGCTGAGTTTAATCCTCTATACCTCAAATAACCAAGGCAATCATGACCACTGTACAGTATGGGGTTCTTCGGAAAGGAAAGGAAATAAAATAAAATAATGAAAAGAAAGGGCAAGCAGAAGATTCCCTCGATGCATTCTAACTGCACTACTGGTATATCTCTTTGGATGACAAGGTCTTGGAGGCCCAGGACCCAGTCACTATCTGTCCTGCTGGGCCTTGCAGGCCAAGTCATAGAAAGGTAATCACATGTTAGCTGGCTACATGAATACTTCTGGATAGTATTTTCCAGGCAAATAAAGCTGACAAGTGAAGTGAGAACTTCAGTCACTAATGACAAATTGCCTGACTTCAGAGACAAGATAAGTGATCCAAGCTGACAGAAAGCAGACAGAAAAGCACACAGAGGTAAGCTCTTTCTTTTACCAATTCTACATTACCTATGATTTTGGTGAGAGAGATGACTCTAATTTTTGTGAGAGGGTGGTATTATTTTTACTCTAGGATTTTTTAAACTATCGTTCTGTTTTCTTTCTGTTTTTTCAATTTGCTATTTTCTGTTTCATCCCAGGCCAGACCCAAAGATTGGATTTATGCTTTATAAGTAATATTTATAATTTGGTAACATTTACCTTCAAGGCTCTTAAATTCTACAATTTACTTCTCCAGGTATAAAATAATACAGGTATTAAATTTAAGAAGTTTGCTTTTTAATATTTAAAATACCCAAATCAAGAAAAGAATTAGATGAAGTAAAATAAAAATAACTTAAACAATAGAATGAGTAAGTAAAAGTCTATATTATGCACAAATATAGAGATGGCATATAATCTTAGTAATGGCAACATTTCCATTTAATGAAGAATTCCTATGTGCCAGCTGCTTTTCTGATTTTTATGTATTAAATTAGTTAATGTATTAAATTATTTAACAGTGAAACATGAAAAACACTTAACTATGCGGTAGTGATAACTATTACAAAAAAGTGATAACTATTCTGAAGATTAGTGAATGGAGGATAGGGCTAAGTAAATTGCCTAAATTCTTTCAGAGTATGTGGTAGAGTCAAAATTTGAACATGCGCCATCTGGCTCAAGAACATATATTTTTAACTGCTCTGTGATGTATAGCCAATGAAAAAGACAAATAAAAGTCTCTGGCACTAGACTGAGATAGGTAGTGCACGTGATTCAAATAAGCTTAATAATTGTTCCATCTCTAATTCTAATTGTCTGGCCCAATTACAATGGAATAAGTCCAATACTCTCAATGTGGAGACTCATTTGGCTCTTATCCTTTCTGATGGTGAAATTCTTCTTCCTTTGACTACACTGTAGGCAAATGTTCTGATGTGGTGATAAACTATTGAGTCTATAGCATGGCTACAGATTGTCTGGGAGTCACCTGATGTGCTTTCAGGAAACACACAAATTATCCTATCAACCATAGCCACATTTAATCTAAATAATGTGGCTTATCATGAACACCTTTCTTTGGAGTACTGAATAGATCATAGAATTTTGAGTCCATAAATATGGTTGCAAGCAAAATAAAAAAAAAAATGGGGTATTTTTTGGAAGTAAAACGGAAGGAGAGAGAGAAAGAGAAAGTGCACATCACAGGCTGTGATATAGGAAGCATAAAATGGCCCTGGGTGTTGTTTTAACTCTGACACTTTCAAAACTCATTTCTTATAAATATCCAGATTCCAGAGCCAGAAAGAGAATGAAGGGAGGTGGAGGAGGAGAATGAAGTAGCATGGGGAAGGAAGAAGCAGAGGACAGAAACATGAGTGGATGAAGAGAGGATTGGAATAAATTGCATCTGACATCAACCAGCCTGGCCCTCGTTTCCTTCCTTCGCCTGCCCATTGCCGTCGACCTCCCCGGGGTGGGGGAAGCGGCGTGAGACTACCCAACGCTGGCGGCGGGAGAGACAGAGCCACCTCCGCTGCTATGCTTTTTTGAGTTTACACACTTCTGCACCATGGAGCTCAGCTAGTCTGACTACCCATTTTTTCCAGAAGGGATAAATGGGCTTCAGAAGTTGGACATATGCTTCCTGGAGTCCCACAATAACTGATTAATCAGGATCATAATTTACTGACATCACTTATGGCCATCATCACTTCCTTCACTGCCAATATTCACTCAGTGCTAACTACATCTTAAACATCGCACTGGCACTTTGCATGGATGAAGTCCTCATGAGCATGCAGTGCGTAAGCCCTTCTACCTTCCTGTTCTACAGAAGAAAATATTAAAATGTGGAGCTATTAAGACGTATACCCAAAGTCGCACTTTTGTAAATATCAGAGCCAAGATCCAAGCCTGGGTAGCCACATCCTGGGGTCTCCATTCTTTTCTATGCCTCCACACCAGTTTCAAGTTGAAGTTACTATGACCCATCACTTACAATGAAGCACCCAAGGAAGAATCCAAACAATTGAATTTCTTTAATTTTCCCTTAGCAACAAATGTCCTGATGAGAATAATGGACTTGGGTTCATAGTAATTATGTGCAGACAATGGAGAATGAATAGAGTTGCCATTTGAAAAGCTTTCCTCTTCTTTTGTCTCTGTGAATGCACCCCCATTCATAATAGGGTGCCAGCAAGATCCTTTCTCTTTGTGCAACTTCACCAAATGATACCTTTGTGATAATCAAGCAGAAATGGGCTTCCACAGTCCCCTCATTAAGGAAATGAAGCAGATAAACAGTGTAATTATGGATTCCATTTTTAGCTAGGCAAAGATGTCTGCTCAGCTCAGGGTCTTTTTTTCAGTGAGGGGATGTTAAACTTAGAATGAAGAAATCTTACAAGTCCATCTTGGTATAATGCTTGAAATTCTTCTTTTCTTATACTGAATCTAAGTTTTACATTTACACTTACCAACACTATCCAAACAACAGCATGTCTGGGGACAAGTTCACTCAACCAACAATTGATTGTTTCTTTAAGGAAGGAAGAAAATTATAGCCATGCCCAGCAGAGGGCTTTAGGACTGAAAAGACAATTCAGTGTGGCCACAGGCTCTATCTGAGAAGAGCAGCTGTTTCACTCTCCTCTGACTGAGGTGCCCTTGAAAGGTTTAATGACAAATTTTGACAGTCCTCATGTCTCAGATAAGTGGAAGGGATTTGAAGACAACCCTATATCAGCATCCTGAAAATGGAAAAGCACCCATATCTTGCAAACAATGTCTTGATAATATAACTCTTTGACAAGTTCTCTTCACAGCCTGAGAGTAGAAGGTATCCTAGGGTGGGGATGGAATCAGATGATTTAGAATTAGCTTAAATTAAGGATCATTTAAAAACTTCCTGAGACTGAAAACAAAGCTGAAGCATCAGAATATTCCTCTTTTTTAAAACATTGCCCATTTCTAGGGAAGAGAGAAGAGGGGGGTGATTTCACAATGGGAAACCTCACATATTTCCATAACTATCATGGGTTCCCAGACTGTCTTCTTCCTTCTTATTCATTACCCCCTCCCCATCTCAGTCTACACCATAGTTACATTAATACTTTCACCACACACATTTTGAGTTAGATGAGTTTTGGGGTTGACAGGATGTTTAGTAGTTTCCAGAATCTCTACCCACTAAGATGTCCATGGCATACCTCATTGGGTTGTTAACAACTAAAACTGTCCCCATACATTGCATTCCCCAATTTGAAAGTCACTGATTTAGACAAAGTTTACAGCCACTGATGCTCAACAGAAATTCCAACACTATTCATCAGTTCTGAGGATGAGGAAAAAGAAGGAGGCAGAGGTTTGTGGTAGTGGCAGGTTCAGGGGAAGAAAGCAGACCAAGGTAGGGGTAGTAGGGTAGTAGGGCAGTGGGAATGGAGGTTGATATGTAAAAGGGAGTGTCCTCATGATCCCCACCAATGCTCCTCCAATGGGGGATTGGAGTGTGGGCTGGTACCTGGTAGGAAAGAGGATTGCCAAAAAGATAAATCACTAAAGGTAATTGCAGTGCTGCTCTCGGGACAGAATACTTTTTAGAACCAAATATTTTAGCCTTCTTCACTCTCTGCAATGAAAACCAGCACCACTGAAAATGTGAGTATCACCCCTTCACCACGTGGAAAAGCCTTGCTCTATACATGTCTTGCAAATGGACTTTTCGTGTTCGCTTCCATTTCTCTCTCACAACTATATTATGTCTATTGCTAGCTATGTTGGCAAACAGGAAACTAAGGCCTATAGATACTAATTCACTTGCCCAGAACCTTATAAGCCAGCAAGTGAAAGAGCATAGCTCCCTGATCTCTAAACCAGGACATGAAACAGTGAGTTCATCTGCCAGAATTCGCATCCTGATTTGAGAGGAGTAGAGGTTTTCTTCGGGTACTGTTGTTGCCATTTAACCAACTTTCAATCTGTGCTCTTGGTCTCTATAGATCTTCTAGTATCCTTTTTACTCTTTTAACCTCATGAATCTATTATTATCCATAATAGTGGAATTGTAGGAAAGCTAATCAAATGAGTAGAAAATAAGATTTTTTTTTAAAAAAGGACTAATTTAGTAGGTATCTTTTCATCTTTAAAAACATGTGCATTTTTACACAAGAACAGGCTTATCTGCCATGAGTAAAATTTTCCTGTGGTAAATGATACTTTTCTCTTAACTGATATTGTGCTCTTTGCTGTCTCTCCATAACTGATCTGATTTGATTCTACATTCTTTTCTTCTGCCTTTATACTTTTGGAGATTCTATACACTTTTGCATATATTTTGTTATACCACTTAATTTCATGAGCACTTTTTAAGTTGGTAAGAAATTTTAAGAAACAAAATCTTGCTTAAGAATTTCCTGTACTTTTCTCTGGATGGACTGAAATTTATTTTAAAGCTCCCCATAGTTCATCATTTAAAGAGGTACCAGTATTGAAATCGTAAATTCCATGGTGGTGATCATCCTGTCATAAAATTCTGTTTCCATTTCAGTTTCTTTCCTTAGGCTATATTTCCTGAAGAGGGATTGTGAGCATTCAATGTCCTAGTATCAACCTAACAGGAAAGGCAAGAATAGACCTCTGCCCTGAGGGTCACCAGGAAAGTGAATGTGGGTAAAAGAGGGTGTTTGGTTCCTGACCCCTGGCACTGGCAGTGTCATGTGACAAAGCTACCCTCAGCACATTCAGAACAGGGTCATGATTATCAGGGCCTTCTAGAATTTTCTGTGGATGTCGTTTCAAGTCATACTCTAATAAGTAATGTACAAATTCATGCTTTGAGACAAAAAGTTCTATTGGCCTGTTACAAAGCTACAACATCAATGACTATAATAGTCACACTTAAGCAAAGGAAATATTTATTGCGTATTTAATAAGCAGTGATAGCACATCAGCCATGTGTTAAACACCAGATAGGTTCTAAAAGTTAAGAAACTTTTAACTTCTTGATGGTTTCTGTCATCAAGAAATTTTTTACTTCTCTTTCTTTCCCTAGCAAATCGATGAACAATGGGAGGACAGTCCTGCAGTGCTACTAGTATGTCCTGGTTACAGAGCTCAATATATAAAATGATTTCTTGCTTCACTAAATATACATGTACACAAAGGAGATAAATATTATGTTCCCCTACACTGCACAGAGTTTCTACTAATAACTTCTAAGCATCAAAAGATTTTGAGCAGAAATAGTGATATGATTAGATTTATAGTTCAGGAGGGTGACGACGAAAAAAGCAGAACAGTGATCCATTCACTCAGCCATAGAAGGCCAGTGTGTCTTTATCCTTTAGAATTTTTACTGCTGCTCATGATCTTCTTGAAGGATTCACCTAGAAGGATTCACCTGTCCAATGAATGACCTCAAAAATCTTAGTTAAGGCAACAGGTCAAAGCATACATTCAACATTGGCTGAATAAGGTCCCGGAATTTTTGTTAGACTGGATGGAACTGCACTTAGCACAAAGGGTATCTTTTGCGGACAGAGTTGAAAAATCATCACTCTGGTCTGTGAAACTTTATGTGAGCACATCCCTGATGAAAAGTAGCCAGCGAACCCAGGTTTCTCACTCTAAACTAGGAAATAGAAACCAGTTGTTGCTTACCTTTAGCTGTCATATCTGAGTGCCACCAACTGCAGAGGTTAAATTCCACCAGGAACCTAAACAGGTGATGGAAAAGTTCGATGTTACTTGGTCATTCACAGAACAATGACTGTTATTTACCATCACTCGCTATTAAAATAGTCAGTGGGAAGAAAAGTCTCTTTAACAAATGGTGTTGTGAAAACTGATCAGTCACATGTTCAAAAAAATTATACCCCTATCTGGTACAATGTACAAAAGCCAATTCAAAATCAATTAAGGAACATGATACTAGACCTAAATCCATGAATTATATTGAAGAGAACATAGGAAGAATCCTTCATGACCTTAAGTCTAGAGGTACCTTCAATGATTCAATGTCATCAGCCAAAACAGAAGCAAAGATAAACAAATTGGACTACATCAAATTAAGAAGCTTTTTCACTGCAAAAGAAACAATGATTAGAATAAAAAGATGCTTCACAGACTGGGAGAAAATATTTTTCCACCATTCATCCAACAAAGGGTTAAGATCCAAGATACATAAAGCATTTGAAAAAATAACAAGAAAAAATCAAGATAAAAAAATAGGAAGAAGATATGATTAGAATCCTTCTCAAAGAAGACATGGCCAATAGATGTTTAAAAAAACAGTCTGTATCACTTATGCTCAGGAAAATACAAATCAAAACAATAAGAAGTCACCTCACACTGGTGAGATTTGTTCACACCAAAAAGAACAAAAACAACTAGTGTTGGTGCAGATGTGAGAATAAAGGGACACTTACCCACTGCTGGTGGGAATTTTGATTGCTTCAACATTTTAGAAAAAAATATGAACACATCTCAAAAAAGCTATATAAGTTTTCATATGATCAAGCAATTCCACTTACTGCCATCTACCCCAAGGGCCCAAAAACTATTCAGAAAAGACATTTGCACTCCTATTTTTATTGCAGAACTATTCAAAATAGCCAAAATATGGACAGAACCCAGGTGTCTAAGAACAGATGGAATGAATGGATAAAGAAACTATGGTATTATACACAGGATGGAACACTACTTTGCAATAAGAAAAGATGAAATCATGCCATTTGCTGATATCTGGATGGATTTGGAGAGTGTTGTGCTGAGTGAAGCCAGTCAGAAAGAGAGAGACACATACACAACAACCTATCTCTCATGTGGGATATAAAGGAACACAGTAAGAAAATAACAGTCAAAATCAATGGAGTCTGAGAACTGAGATTACCATGGTGGGCGATAGGATGGTGGGGGAGTAAGCTGTGGAGCCCACTGGTGGAGGGTGTGGTGTTGGAACATTGCACTTATGAAACCATCAGTGTGCAAATGGCAGAATGTTTGGTCTAGTTAGCAACACATTTATTGGTCTTTATCTTGTGAAAAGAAATTTTTATTGTCAATGGCAGCCATGCCCAAAAGTCAGATTTATCTAGACCCAAAGACTGTTGAAAAAATCTCTGCTTATAGGCATAACAGCTTTTAGTTATATTCAGTTAATAGTAAGAAATTCTCTCTTAAAGGGCTTTGTATGCCCTGGTTTGAAAATACAAATAGAATATTTTCTGCTTAGAATATTATCTTGAACAATAAAAGAAACATTCAAAACTTATACTGCAGCACAAACTTGTTCAATTGTGTGGGTGTATGTACATACATGTGTTTTTCTGAGTATATGTAGGGGCAGATGGGACAAACTTCATGAAATTATACCACAATGCAACTTTAAAAAAAAAACACCTCAATTGTTAGTAAAGAATGCAAAAGTAATACAAAATTATTCTCCGACTAAATGGAAATAGATCAAAATGCAATCATTTCTTTTCCAGACTCATGTAGCAGTTCACTTTAATCAAAACACACTCATCTGTTGCCATATTTTGTCTCTTATAAATATGTGGAACTTACTCTTCACTTATAACTTTATAAATGAATAACTTGGTTACTTTAAAGCATTGAGGAAAACAATGTCTGTTCATCAAACCAGCAAGAAAAATGCCTTTAACGCCCAGATCTAAAGCCTTAATGGGGAAAATAAAAGTGAACGAGTTTGGTATAGCCTAGTCTAGTTGAGTTGTTCATCATGCCTGGAATCCCTCCCTTTCGTGTGACAACCGTATTTCTGTAATGTGTCCAATATCTTGTCTGGAAGTCAAACCTTTCATCTTTATGCCAGTTCAAGTCTGACCAAAGTCACAGATGCATCCAGCACCATCCAAACGGGACCTTAATTTGACAGAGTAAACAATTAAATCCCACCTGAGGAAAGCCCTCAGCCCCTGGTCTGTACTGTATAGGCCCCACCCCCAACCCTGCACATGTCAAGACATCCCAAGCAGCACAGTGGACAGTCCTGGCAATTTGTTCCTCTGACCACAGCCCACCCAGGCTGCATTAAAAACAGCCAGACAGCTATGTTAAATTTAACAGTAACCACAATAAATAAATTTGGTTTGTGTATTGCAAGCTGTTAGTCTGCTAAACAATGACATAAGGGAATAAACAGGGACCAAGAATAACATAATAAAAGATTTTTTTTGTTTCAACATTCAATATCTTGAGATGTTCAACAAAGTAATCTCAAGGTATTATGAATCTGAGTAGGAGGCACAATCTCACAATTCACTTCATAAGACAATTGAAAAAAAAAAGCAATAGTACTTTTTTTTTCCAGTATCAAATTATACTTACAGGACCAGTTCTGTCATTATCCATTTCACTGCAGCAAGGAAAGCATTATAAGGCTGAAGAGAAGAATTCAGTTCATTAAAAAGAATGTGTCACACACCAGCTTGGTAGTTTAACTTAAGGCTTTACATTAAGACAATGTTATTCTTCTGCAGAGATTAATATCATGTTAAAAAACAGTAAAGTCCTAGGTAGAGGAAGAAAATGGTTGGATACTGTATCCCAAAACTAACATTTTAAAACTTTGAACTCCCCTGTAGTGAGATGTGATTTACAAGTAAAATAAACATGATCTAATATAAGGGTTATCTCTGGGAGGAAAAAGGAAGTTCAGCAAATGATGCTTAAACCTTCACCCTCTAGGGGCTAATATTTCGCAGCTTAATGCTGAGGAGCCGGAATCATGTTAACTAATTTCAAATGGCAATTCACAGGCTGCTCTGAGAAGGGAGGCTCCCTGGGCTACATCACAGTGTGGTGTTCAGCGCAACAAGCGAAAATTGCATAGACTTGATTTTAATGCTGCCCATGAATTATGCAGGAGTCAGACTGCCTTTTCTCACACTTACATATTTGGAGTTTAAAAAAATGATAACCATATAAACATGTGATTTTATCCTTGCAGAAAATCCCCTTTACGCTATAAAAGAAGGCATTGACAGCCTAATCTTTATTTCAGAATATTTTAATTAAAAAAAGCAGTTGGATTGTTTACTCTGTGATATTTCCTATGTGGATAATTCAATTTCCTGAATTCTGGAAAATACCAAGTCTCCCCCTCAGTCGTTTCTTTGTACCTAGGTATGCCAGATATGTGCATGGTGGGCGGACTGGAAAGACAGGCAGTGACACTGGCAAAGCTCTGGCCCCAGGTGGCTGGTCCAGAAAATTCTCAGAACCTTTTGTGGTCATGTTTGGGTATCAGAGAACTCAAAGGTCAAATCCTGGTTTCTGAAGAGAGGGTTGTTTTAATCCTACCTTCTGAGAATTTTAATGATAAAGGATCCAAGGAGGAATGGGGGGATTATCCTGTTTTAAATAAAACCAGAACCAATGTATGTGCCTCTAAACCATTCTTGAAACTTCCCTGTTTCAAGCCAGTAGGTAAATGAAGAGATAACAGTCTCCCGGGGTTCCTCCAGGCCACCCAGATTTCAGACTGGAGGTGCTGTGCTCAAGGAACAAGAGTGTGTCAGCTTCATTCTCTGGGTCTTCAAGCTTAGTGGATAGTGGTTCTGCCATTGTATTTCTTATAGCTTGAAAAATATTCATCTTTCTTCCAAAAAGTGGTCAGACTAAGAGAAGTTCCATGGTTCTGTAAGGGACTAACATTTCAGGAGGTCCTTGGTAGTGGGTGAGAAGGAGGAGAGAATGAATGAAGGGATTAAGGGGATTCAGGGGTAGAAAAGGGCAAGCACAGGGCAGCTCACCCTAAGGCCAGGGGGAAGGGCACTCAACTGTCTCTAACCAGACATTGGCTCAATGCGTGTGTAAACCAAGAGATTATGTAAATTGGGGATTAAAAATGTAAATGAATATCATTCAGAAGGATTAAAACCATTGAGCTTTTAAGCCTAATGATGAAAACATATCTTGGGAACATTTTAAGCCTGGAAATATTCATGCTAAGGTTAGGGAAGTTGGGTTTGGAAAATCTTGTTGGTTCTCACTTAAAAAGCTTTAGTTCTTTGCTGCCTCTCAGAAATTTTCCAGCTCTGAATCATGTCTCTCTCCATGTAGAAGTACCGTATTAACTATTTGGTTTTTAAATAATTCATTAGTATAATCAATCTTACATCTGTGAGAATGCAATATATTTATTCTTTAAACCAAAATATCTCTTAAATTTTGTGTTTCAAACCAAACCTAGGTTAATGTCTGGTATTTATAAACAATAACATGTAAAGATTATTTCTATACCTTATATCAAAACTATCAAGAATTCTATGTCTGCTTTTTTCCCCCTATATATTCAGGTTTATAGTGGAAAAACTTACATAGTTTATACAATTTAATTATCTTTTTAAATTGGGAGTAAATTATAACTGCACTTCTGGCCGTCTGAAAGGCAGTTTCTAGAGCTGCAATAGCTGTGTTGATGAATCTTCAATTGTAACATTATCTATGGAAATAGATAACTGGGAAGAGGACTCTGAAATGCCTCAGCAGCAGCAGATTTCTAAGGTAGAAAATACAGGAGCAAAATGAGCATTTGATCATAAACTCATAGCTCCATTATAAATCAAAAAGAAGATTTGTATTGAAATTTTTCCTTATAATTATAAGAATAATAAGAACAATTTATCTTCCTTTTTTCTCGCCATCCAAAGCAGGCTGCTGTATTAATACAGACGAGACTTGCTGTCTCTTTGTTCTTTATTGAATCACTGGCTTTGGCTATAAGCAAAAGTGGTTTTTCCTTAAACGGTTAAGTCAAGAAATGCTGTTAAACACTGTTTTGAGAAATGTAGATTTGTTTTAAAAAGCTTAATAAGAGATGATCACCAGGGAGATAGAAATATTCTGTTTTGGGGAGATTGTACTTACATCCAGGAGACCCCGGGCACCATCACTGCTCTCCTTGTTGGCTGGACACATGGCCTGATAGTCATAAAGATTGATTCTAGAGGAAAGAATGACAGGAATCATTCTACAGGAAAGAATTTTCTAGAATCACTATCTAGGAAAACCGAGGGACTGAGGGATTCGGTAACCAGGCAGGTGAACAGGCACATTCCTACCAACCAGTGCAGGAGAGGCCACCATAAATTATTGCAGGTCTACCAAGGACATGGCAAACTCAACACTGGTGCACAGCCATACCACAATGGTAATTTAAGAAAAGGGGATAAAAGGAAATAGGAAAGACCTGAGAAAAAAGGGAAGAGAAAACACCCAAATTAAAGAATGACCCTTGAACCTCAAATATGGTGACCCTAGGGAAAACATACAGGCTAATCTGAGTACAGCCGATGTGGCCTCAAACCCCAAATGGAAATCCCAGAATCGAAACCAATAAAAAAAGGTTAGAAATAAGATAAAGTTTGTGTCTCAAATAAAGGGGATGGAAAGAAAACAGCAGTTTATGATTCAAGAAAAACATTTCCCCCCATTGGTAATAAAAGAATAGTTCTCATTCCAGTTATAAACTTGAATTCCTTGAAGTTTATTTTTATTAATGTTATGTTTTACTTTATATGCTTTATAAATGTCCTGAATATTTTCATCAGCAACTTTACAAAGCAAAAGAGCACAGCAGTCTGGTGGTGACTCCTCAGTTTTTATTTATCTATTTATTGTTTTGGGACCACACTTAAAACTCAGTGGCTCTGAGCTCTGAGCTTCTGGCTCTGAGCTCAGGGAAGAATTCTTAATGTGGGTCAGGGAGTAAACACTTCAATAGAAGGTCTCTGAGGTAGAACTGAGGTGGGGTCTGCTTCATGCTGATGCCTAGAACCTCAGAGCACTCAGAACAGAGAAGGCATTTGGCTTTAAAGGTTTGAGAATGTGAGTCTGGAGTTGAAAATGACAAATGATACTGAAGAACCAGTTGCAGCATATGATAGGAAGGTCCTGTCCCCTTGACTGCATGACCAGGAAGACCATCACACAAATACACAGGAAACAAAGGGTGAGAAGTGGGCTACACCTTGTTATCAGCCACATGTGATCCTGTCAAGAAGAAAACTGGCTCCTGACATCACTTCCCAGGCAGACCTGGATCACAAAGCCCAAGAGCTGTGATCTGTGGCTGCAGAACCTGCCAGCAAGTCTCTGGACTTTCACATTAGAACAAGTCTTTTAGCCTTGTTCATTGTCCTCTGCTTTTTTTCCCCCTCATGCAAAGAGAGCAAATTTCTTGAAACAGAACTGAAGCTCTTGAAGAGTCACCTCTGTCTTATTCTTCTACTGTCTAACTCAGTGTTTCCACTTAGAACCTGGACACTGCTGGTAGGAGAGGCAGCATGGTTTGTGTGGAGCATGAATGTTCCTGGAGGTTTATAGATGTAGATGCAGTTGGCATAGTTTTAAAGGTTCTGACGGCCAGAGAGATAGTCCAGTAGATAGACACATGCTTTCCATGCAGGAGGCCTGAGTTTGATGTGGTACCAGTTCAATCAAGGTTCCTTGTGCACTGCTGGGAATGAGCCCCAACTCTGAGCATGGAGTAGTCCCCAATATTATCAAAGATTGTCCCAATACATAAATAAATAAATAAATAAATAAATAAGGACTGGTTCTACTATTTATCCAGGGCCAAATCTTAAGCAGTTTGCTTATCCTCTTCTGAGGTTTTACTTTCTCTCTTACAGAACTGTTGAGATTTCAATAATCAGGCATGTGGAATTATACTGAAATATACCATATAGTGTAATAGTCTCCTTTTGATCCTTATAACAAAAACTCTAATTCTGATGTTTGTTACAGTTTGGACTCTTAAAACCAATACTATTGCCTGAGGCTCTACTGACAGCAGTAAATGACCAATTGGTTAAAATGCCAGCTTTGAAGTAATATCTGGAACTCAAATCCTATTTCATCTACATATATTATGCTCTTTTTTTCACTCTTGTGGTACCTAAGTTGCCTAATCTGTAAAGTAACAAGAGCAATGGGGACCTTAATGGGTGAATATAACAATTGCATGAGATTTTAAATGGGTTGCTTTTAGCAGTGTCCCTAGTATAGAGGAAGCACTGGACAGAAGGCAGGGTTGAAAATTCTGTTATGATTCATGGGAATGATTTTCATTGTCATAATTAATGAATAGGGGTGGTTTTTAAGGCTAAGGGAAATGACTCAGGTTATACCCTGCTGGCTATTGGACTGATGGGCATCCTGGTTTTTTTAGTTCATGGGTAGCTATGACAGTGTAAAACATGTACTCGTTATTACAGTGGAAGTCACCTCTGAAGCCAGAGTAATTATCAAGAGATGATTCTGGAATGTTTCTCCATGATCTTTTAAGCTGAGGATCATGAAACAAAACTGGCATCTATGAAGCTCTATTTAGCAGCCAAGAGCATAAACTCCTTCGAGACACCTTAAAAGAAAGATATGAGGGAACTGGAGAGTGGGTAGAGTGTTTGCCTTTCACACAATTGACAAGTGTTTAATCCCCAGCATCCCATATAGTCCCCTGAGCCTAGCCAGGAATGATCCCTGTGAGGAGAACCAAGAGTAAGCCCTGGGCCTCACTGAGTGTACTCCCCCCGAAAAAAAAATTGGAAAAGAAAAAGATAAGATATGAGTAACTCCTATTACACAGAGGGACAAACCAACTGCCAGCCACTCAAGGGAATCAAGCTTAATCTACCTCCCATGGCTTTTTGCTGGGTGGCAGGCTCTGACACACTATAGGTAATGCTCCAAATTCACACCTGTGACCTATTCCAGGCCTTACTGGAATGCCACTGGGAATGTAGCTCAAAATAAGGTCTCATAACTAATGTTCGGATTCAATTTTCAATTCAAGCTGTTCATGTGGTCACCTAGAGAGGCTGGACCAGCTAGCAGAGCTAAGGAGAGCCCCTTGTCATTGTATATGCCCTGATGTGTGGATGTAGGAAGCTCAGTATTTTCATGGGATCCTTTTTTATCAAGGCTCTAATTGACTGGCTGGGGCCAAACTCACTTGGACTGTGGCAGCCCACGGTTCTTGCCTTTCATTTCCCAAGGCAGCTTTCCTGATCCAATTGCCATAGAGGAGGTTATTCAACAAGACTTCCCTGTCTACTCCATGCATACACAGCTTTAACTAGATGTTGCAGAAAGAGAGACTTCCAGATTATTACCCTTTTTGAAGTGATTTTGTTACTGTTTTAAATAACTCCATTTTGTGGCTACCTGTATCCTGTTCAGCTGATTATAGTTAAAGAACACGATAATTGCCTGCTTTCTTTCTGCTCTAAAATAAGCCCTAAGCTTGTGCCCTGCCCAACACTGGGCTGTGCACTGCTGCACTTAGCAGCAGGAGTTTATTCTTATTATAGATAACATGCCTTAATCCCCATGACATCACCACTAGGCCACTACACAACAGTGACAGCGGGCCCCAGACCTTATCATTAGCATCTCTGTGCTCCCCAGAGGGGTCCCTTTGAAACTTTGACAGAAGGCAGATAAGGTCTCTGAAGAAGAAACTCAAAGAAATGCAAACAAAGCCTGGGTAACCCTGCTTGCCCTTGAACCGGGTGGAGCTTCAGCATATGGGGCTCATGACATGAGGGCTTGTCAAAAGCCATTTTGCTGATTCTGATCTTTCCTGGCTAGACAAAAATCATGACCAAGAAAAATATTTCTTCTAAATATTAGAAGGTTGAATTTCAAAGACACAAGCTAAGCTCACTTAGGCTTGTAAGTACCTGTAGGGACCAGGTTTGTAAAAAGCCTACTATGTGCCCATAAGGCCAAGAACATTACCTGCAATAACTCATTGAAGTAGTTCATTTGCTTCAGCTGATTTTTCTAAGACCAACCTGGAAATAGCTCATTGTTTGCAAATAGAGCCCTAAAAGCAGAATTAGGAGGCAACTGCCACAGAGACCTACCAGTTAGATTCACATTTAACCAACTCTGAACGTAAAAGTATGAGAAACAAAGCTATCCAACAAGGAATAGAATGTAAAAATAAGTATTATTTGTGCTGCAAATGTGTTCTCAAGGGCAAGTTTCAAGAGATAGGGCATGAAGCACAAACACAGGAAATTCTTAACAAAAGGAGTTTTGCCCTGGGATGCCTAATAAAGTCTTACTTTGCAGAAACCAAGAGAATGAAAAGCTCCATCTGCCAATGTGGTGAAACACACAATCTATACACTTTCCCTTCTTTTTCCTGTGCATCTGTCACCATCTCAACCCCTAGAGACTCCGGACAGATACTGTACTCTTCTTTAAGATCAGCATCACACAGACGGCCAAGTTTACAGGAGACTGGCACTGCTGCCTTCCAGCCCTGGTCTGAAAATCTGTGAAACAGATCTAGTTAATGAGTGCCCATAATTAGCAGAAACTAAGCTAAGCATCATATAACTATGCTGGCCAGGAGCACAAGACACAGGGTATCCAGATCACTCAGTGTCCCTTGAGAAACATACTCACTTGTTCTGTAGCTTAAACCTAGAGTCTACTAGCACTAAGTGTCTTCCATGAACAGGTACTGACAATATACAGAGAGATGCAGATACTGATTATTTCAGCATCTCAGCTAATAAAAGCAATGAAATAAGAAGTGTCAATTATTTTCTGCCAGTCAGAGAATTGATACCTCCAATGTCAGGAACTGGGGTGAGCACTGACCAATCTGATTTCAGTGTTTATATGAACATCAGGCATATGCACATATACCAAGAGGTAATGGGAAGCCTCAGTGGGAAGGGTGCCATGTGCAAGACAAGGGGCAAAGCCTCAGATGAAACCAAGCCTATTGGCCCCTTGATCTTGGAAATCTAAATGCCACAAGTTTGAGAACATATACTTCTATTTCATTTATTTTCTTGTTTTGAGATGCCTGGTGGTGCTCCCTCTATGATAGAGGAATATATATATATATATATATATATATATATATATATATATATATTCTGTGGTGTCAGTGTCCTTGTCAACATAAACTTGGCCATG